GTGTCCTGGCATGGTGAGCAGCGCTCTTGCCTTACAAGCCTGTAACACAGCACATGATTATTCACAGCGACCATGGGCAAGAGGCATAAGACAAGTTTTCCTAGTTAGTTGCTTATATTAGTAATGTACCTGTTTTTCAGAATATTCATTTATTTATTTATTTATTTATGCATGCATGCGATATGGGGGATCGAACTCAGGACCTTGCGCTTATGAGGCAGGTGCGGCACCACTGAGCTAAGTTCCCGGCCCCAGAATATTCTCTTTTAAATGAAGAGTTTTGGTGGTTTCTAATTTCTAGAATTATTTCAACTAGAGAGGACAATGGAGCTTGGCAGCTCTGTCTTCATTATGGCAAACCCAGAGGCTGTGGGGACATACGACTCTTTCCTTGTTGTGGACCACTGGCAACTCTGCCCCATTTTTGTAGTTCATTCTGGAGTTTTATTGCTCTATCAAAGCATTATTCCTGAGAATCCATCAAAAACTCATTTACTGTAAGCACATTTTATGCTGCTTCATGAATAGTGCTGAAGAGGATCTTGGTACCACCCTTCTCAGAAATGACAGGTAAGTCTTGCCTCTGGTTTTGTTCCTGGCCACTGCCTCCCTGGGCACCCGCTGCAGTGCTGGCTCCCAGGGCTTCCCGCCCTCAAGGCAAGCATAGTAACTCTTTCACCTCCTAGACTGCAACCCAGCTCTCTAAGACCTCTGTTCCTATTGTTTCTCTGTGCCCCAATGCTACTAAATCCGTAGCCCTGAGATACATCCATGTGGTGTATAACTCTTGAGAGAAAAACTTCCCTGGGTTTCATAATGCTTCGTGGGGTAGTGTCTGAGCTTGTCAGTCTCCTTGTCTAGATTTATGTGTTAGGAAGGGTGTTCTGCCGAGAATAGCATTAAATCCTAAAATATCGGTGGCTTAAATAAGAAAGAAGTTTACTTCCCTCACACACAGAAGCAGACCGGAGGTAGGCAGGCCAGCGCTTGTCTGGGAGCTCTGCAGTGTCAGCTGTTCTGTCAGGCTGCTCCTCAGTGTAGAAAGCATCCTTGTGCTGTGGCCTCTAAAGACAGGTTGAGTGCTTGAGGTCCAGCTATCACATCTGTATTCCAGCTAGCAGGGAGGAAGAGAGTGAGTCAGTTTGCTTGTTTGTTTATTATTTGGTACTGGAGATTGGAGATGAACCCAGAGGTATTCTGCCACTGAACTATGTCTCTAGCCCTCTCTTAAACTTTCATTTTGAGACAAGCCCTCAGTAAGTTGCTGAGAATTGGCTCAAATTTGCCATCCTTCTGTCTCAGCCTCCCCAGGGCTGGGATTTCAGGTGTGTACCGCTGTGCCCAGCTTGGATCTCTCCCCTTGATTCTTCTTGGAAGTCGCTAACAACACTTTCCCCTGAATCTTATTGACTGAAACTTAGACATGTCAACCATGTGTATTTGCAAGAAGCCTAAAGGATGGGGTCTTTTAACCAGGCTGCTCTGCTAAACATTGAGGTTCTTATTACTAGGCAGTAGAGTAGATAACGGGCTAATCTGAGTCCCTGACCTGGGGCTATCCTACCCTCGCCCAGCCTCATTCCTCCCCATCCCTGCCCCTCCCCACCTGGTGCTGTGGAATTAGTGTCGGTGGCTACAGGAAACCTCTTACTCGACCTTTTCCATGTCAGCCCCCCTCACAGCACTGGGCGGCTCACGAATCCTGGCCTGTGCCTGGAAGGCCCTTCAGCATCCTTATTTCTGTTTGAAGCATCTGCATACTCTTCAGTTTCCTCAGAGGCCTCTCCTTACTTTCTTAGCAGGCTGGCAGTGTGGAGCAGTCGAGAGCATTGTGGATTCAGAGCTGAATAGACTTGGCTCTGAGTCTCCACGTCCAGTGTGAATGCGAAAACACTCAGCGTGTAAGTTGTATCTGAAGCCACCGCCAGGTCTCCTGTGGATTCCAGACATTTGTGTTGGACTCCTTATACAACATCATCCCTTCAAGGTCCCAGAAGCGGCCATCATGCACAGCCACCTCTGAAACAGAGCTGCACTTGATTTTTACTTCCATCAGCCTAGCTGCAGGTGTCAGGAAGCTGGAAATAGTCCTTCATTTCTCCTGTCTAAAAGCCTCCATATCTGTTACCTTCAGCTCTCAAATCAAGTGGCTGCCCATCTACCAGCTCAGCTGCAGAGTGTACCTTCCTTCTGTCTCCAGGGCCCGAGTCAGCAGCTCTGGCTCTCATGCCTGGCCTCTATAGCGGCTCTTGAGGTCTCCCACACCCACTCAGCCTGCTCTGCTCTGGTCTTGGGCTGTGCCACTTCTGCACAAAAGCCGGCTTCCCTTTGGATCTAGGCTGGAATTCTGGGTTCTTATTTTCTGCAGAGTGCCACCGGCCTTGCTCTATATGTCTCTGATCTCTTGCCCCGCTTGTTCTTGCTCACTGTAGCCTCTTGGGTCTCTTTCTGGTCCTTGATTGGGCAAAGAGCCTCCAGCTTCCACCCCTTCCCATGTGCCATTCCCCAGGTCACTCCGTAAACTATCCTCCTGTCTCAGCCTAAGTGGCCCTCACAAGCCTTTTCCTGACCTCTAATCTAAATCAATGTCCATTGCCTCTCTTTAGGATGTTTCTTCCTTAGCATTTACCACAACTTAAGAATTTTATATTTATTGAGTGATTACTTACAAGATATCACTTCCACATTAGCCTATATGTTCCCTAAGGGCTGGGTTCATATTTCTTCTAGTTACAACTGAATCTTCAGTGCCCAGTGCTCAATAAATACATGGAATAAGTGAATGAATAAATAAATGATCTTGTGATTAAACAATGCAGGAGATTCTCTCATTAAATTGACAACTTTGCTTTTCAGTGTGGCAATACGTATTTGTTGGAAACATACTAAGGTGATTCACCTTTCCAACTTGGCATTGTATTTCTTTACATTCATTGACCATCTGTGATTCTCACTTGTGAGCCTATAAACTTCAGTTTAATTTATTACACTTTAACTTTGAACAAAGCCTTACTTTTGCCAGGATAACTGAGCACAGAACCTGGAACGGTCATGTTCAGGTGTGATGTCTGGGAATCATGCTTGGGCCCACTTCCATGGCTTGCTGTCTCTCTTCATATGTGACCTAGAATAACCTTTGCAACAGAAGACTCACTGTTGTGGGGCTGGAACCTGAAGTTGTAGTCATTTTATTTATTTATTTATTTGGTATCGGGGATCGAACTCGGGTCCTTGTGCTTGCACAGCAGGCGGCAAAACCACTGAGCTAAATCCCCGGCCTTATTTATTTATTTAAAAAATTTTTTTGTTTTTTTAGACAGGGTCTCACTATGTAGTTTAGGCTAGCCTCGAACTCACAGCAGTCTTCCTGTCTCAGCCTCCCAGGTGCTGGGACTAGAGGCATGCACCACCGTGCCCAGCCATAGTTATTTTATTTTTATTTTTTTATTTTTTATTTTTTTGGTACCGAGGATCGAACTTGGGTCCTTGCGCTTGTGCAGCAGGCAGTGAAACCACTGAGCTAAATCTCTGGCCCCATAGTCATTTTAAAACAGAGTCATCAGTGACTATCCCAGAAAAGCTATTTGCCCAAGGTTTGGGTTGCTATGGAAAAACCAGTCCTCTTACTCCCTGACTTGACCAGCTTCTTTGAGATCAAAAACTGAAATATCAACTATTGAAGTAGCATGTACTTGTAATTTCTTCTTCCTATTCTTTCCTGAATTACCTTGTTCTGCAAAAAACATTGGCAGGATATGTTATGGAACAAACAAATCAACAACTTATGTGGTATTTTTCCCCCTCTCCAAGGTTGTAAAAAGTGTTCTCGAAGCATCTGATGATTTTGGAATCCTGAATTATGGGTCTGAAATAAAAGATGAACTCAGATAAAATTGTCTCTCTCTTATGATGGAGAGGTCACTTACACTGGGAGAGTGTGTGTGGATGTCTTTTTGAATGGCAGTGAAGATTCTGCTTTGAGTGGGTGGTGGATTGAGGTGTAGATGGAAAAGCAGAGGGTTGATCCTCTGAAGCCCCAGGAGTCTGCTTGTGTCGGCACTTCAGAGTGTGCCTAGGATGGCAGAATCTGGCTTGAAGCGGGGCCTTAGCTAAGGGGCAGCCATCTTAAAAAGGGGTTATATATTTATATTGGCTGTGGAAATGTCTAATTGATGATTAGTGTTACTCCCTCTTAGCTCTCTGGAGTGAACCCTACAGTCCAGAAACTCCAATTTAGTTGAATAGGAGTATTTTGTGGAGGAAATCCAATGTAGCAAGTGAAAATTTAAAATTTTAAATGTTCAGAGGTGTGTATGTGCTGCTTTTGTTCATAAATGTTTTACACACTTCTGGTACAGAGCCTGACAGCCTCTTTCCTGGGGAGATGTGGTTTCAGATTCTTGGGTGGATGTGCACTTTATAAGATTTTAAAGAAAGTTTTTACTTAAAAGACTTTTAAGTACTTTGCTCTTTATATAATGTCATTAAGACAAGCCAGGAAAATCAGGATTGGGTATTTATTTATTTAATAAATACAATGTCTTTTCCACCATTTTGTTATGGCTTGTAGCAAAGTACTTTTAAAAGTTAGCATTTAGTTTGATTCTGTCTTATTTCAGCAGCTGTGCATAATAAACTAACCTATCTCTAGTTTTCATTGTGGGCTGGGGCAGTATTTAACCTCTACGTTTTTGCCATTTTGATGCACTGCAGTTAAGCTTAATTCAGCATCATTTGATGCTCTCCATGACGTTTAGCAGGTGAATGACGTTAACAGATCAAGTGCGGTGCTCAGTGTGTGCGAACACATGGGTGGGAGACGTGACTGGCCTCACCAAGTCCCCAGCCCCTATGGCCGTTCCTCTTTTGTAAGGGAAACACTGAGGGGTTCAGGGTGTCCAGGAATTTTTTCTGGTCTGAATTTAAAAGCCTCTGTCTTTTAATGGATGTGCATCTAACTGGTTCCTCCTCTTCTCTCTTTTTCTCTCTTTCTAATTTAGGAAAAGATGATGCTAGTGCACATGTTACAAAAGACGAGAGCACCCCCATGTCACCAGACACCAGAGCTCTGTCAGAGAAGTCGCTGCAGAGATCAGCCAAGGTCATTGCCTACAGATTTACCCATTTGTCCACTGGCTATCGCCTGAGCAGCAGCTGGTCTCTTAGGCAGTTCAGCTGGGACTGTGGTGATCAGTCAATCAGAAATGTCAGTAGAAGCAGGAAATAAGGAAAAGTGAATGTTTTTTGTAACTTTAAACCTGTGTATTCATTTGCCTACATTTGGATAAAGGGCCAAGGCCCTTTTTTGTGTGTGGGTATGTTTGGAGTTTTGCATTATCTTTCTTGCTTAAACCCTACTCATGATGAGGTATTTATGACTTTTAGTTTTGGTTATTTAATTAGAGTTAAAATTTAGACACCGGAGAAACAATATGAGTATAGATTCCTTCTGGAATCTATATTAGTTTTTGCTCCAGTTTCTTTTTAATTGTCATGCCCATACCTAATTTAAAAAATTTAAATAAGTCTCTCTTAGTTTTTCAAAAGTACTCAATTCATTATATAAGTAAAGCCCTGTTATGCTCCTATTTCATTCCTCTGACATTCAGTGGAATGCTAGTGGCAGCTTCAGATGTGGGATCAAACACAGCTGGCTCTGACTGTGCGAAGAGTTCACGGCGGCAGGAAAGGTACGAGGGCAAAGGATAGAGTGACATTGTAGTGTGAGGCTTCGTGTTCCTGAGGCAGAAGCAGGTGACCACTCGCCAGCCAGTTGGTTAAGAGAGCATCTCTCCTGCACGTATAAAGTGTAGACTGTCTGTGCATTACTGCCATTGCCCACCAGTTACCCAGATCTGTATGGCAGTGGGCATTTGGAGGGCGAACCCTGTACACAGGCAGCAGGCTAGGTGTGGAAGATGCTAATGAATGTGTGGCCTGGGGCTGGATGGATCTGGCTCACACACCTGTTTTGTTCACCTGTTTGGTATTTAAAATACCAAGCTTACATTAAACAAACAAACAAGTAGGGAGTGGTCACATAGAAACCTAGGCTGTAGCTTCTTTTGTCAAACATCTGGCTGTGCTGGGCCACATTCCTGAGTGACCGCAGTCGGAGCTGAGTAGCGCATCCCCTGTTCCTGGAACTGTGTTCTCTCTGTGCTCTGCCCCACAGTGGGCTTGTCTCTGCCCTCTCCCTCTCTTCCTGTGTTTTGGATAATGTTTCTTCATGAATTCAACCTAAAATTACAAGGTAAAACAGCACTCATATGCAGAACGTACGCTGTGGCGGTGTCATTTCCACGACAACCAGCGTTGTGTGAATCACAGGGAACGCCAAGCTGCTTTATACATTTTTGTGCTGTCAGAAATTAAATCATGCAGCTTGGACTTAAGGTTCGGACAAGATAGAATAGATATGTTGTTTTGCTCCTCCCACTAAGTACAACTAAAAGCCCTGGAAAACAAGAGGTGACCAAAGGAGAGCCCTGAAAGAGGAAAAGAGGAAGGCACGCGAGGTGGGGACCCAGAGAGGGAACCCCTAGCCACAGGACCTTGCAGCCCACGTGAGAAGGTGACCCAGGCCCAGGGTTTCTGACTCCCAGCTGAGCAGCAGGAGATGGCCAGCTTACTCACTCCTCTCACTGAGGGCAGTTGACTGGGAGTTGTGGGACAGTTGGTGGCCTGGAGAAGGCTCTTCTTTTCCCTCAGGCTGAGGACTTCTCTCGCCACCAAGAGACTGTAGGCATCTAAGTGGCTGTTACAAGGGACAGCCCACCACAGGAAGTGCCAGCCCAGGAAGCCTTTGTTTCTGGGCCAGAGACCCCTTTCTCCCACCCAGAAGCCCCAGACAGCCTGAGGACATCAGGAGAAAGGGTCTTGTCACAGCAGCAGCTCGAACTGGGAAGCCCCTGTGTCCTCCCCCAGAGCTACCAGGTAGCCAGAGTCCTTAGACGGGAGCTCCTATCGTGACAGGTGAGTGAGCCAGAAAACCTCTGTCCCTGTGGACCAGAGACTCCCCTCTCACCCCCAGAGAAACAGGGCAGCCAGGTAGCACAAGTAAGGGAGGTCCTGCCACAGCAGGATCCCCACATGGACAACCTCTTCATCCTCCCATGTGTTCAGGTGGCCTGGCCGAGGAATGAACCTTCCCCCTACAGGCAGTGCCAGCAGAGACAAGTGGCACCATATAAAACAAACATATCAAAGGGTCCTGCAGTGCCTCTGAAAACAATTGTTGTTGGAACTTTGGCCACCACAGCAGGCTAGGACTGACACTCCAAACCTCAATAGGGTGACTGCCTTCTAAAATGAAAGATTTAAGTGGCAACTGTCCAGCCACAGCCAGAAACTCTTCATCAGACCAAGAACCAGGAAGATCGAGACCGAGTGAGAAAAACATTTAAGGGACCTGCACAGTTGTGGTTATCTGATAAGGATTGTGCAGTGGCCATCGGAAGGGTGCTCACAAAACAGTGGACAGGTCTCTGAAACAGTTGAGAAAGTGGAAAATCTCAGCAAAGAACTACAAGTTACACCTTACAAAGAGTCATTTGTATCTAATAACATTTAAGCAATTACTACGTGGTTCACGTGAGAAAAATATAATGTGGAACAAATACTAGGACCAGTACTTCCTTGCTAGAGTCTGACATATCTTCCTAAGACACAGGGTCTGATTAGAAAAGCACTTTGCTCTCATTCATCCATGTATTATTGCATAGTTTTTTGGGTATAAATGCTGATTGGGTACTTGTTGCAATGTCGATAGAAATTTCTTAGTCACAGAACATCAGGAGCAGGCACTTTATGGTGACCTCTGAAAGTCCCCCAGGCCCAGCTAGTTGGTCAGATAACACCCTGCTGCCTTCACCTGATACCTAGTTCTGTAGTAAGCAGGCCTGACTTATCTTTGGTGTCTGCAGGTGGTTTACATCTTGGAAAAAAAGCATTCCCGCGCAGCAACTGGCATCCTCAAACTCTTGGCTGAGAAGAACAGTGACCTGTTTAGGAAGTACGCCCTGTTTTCTCCCTCAGACCACCGAGTGCCTAGGATTTATGTACCTCTTAAGGACTGTCCCCAGGACTTCGTGACCCGGCCCAAAGATTACTCCACTACCCTCTTCATCTGCCGCATTGTGGACTGGAAGGAGGACAGCAATTTTGCCCTGGGGTAGGTGATCTCTGGCAAGAAAAACTCAGTTTAGATGGCCTTCAGGTGACCTTTTTGTGTATTTATTAAAGCCATGGTACATGCCGTAGTTTGGTCCTGATTTTTCAGAAATTTGGCCTAGCTGCCACTTTAACTCGTTGCCTGTAGGTTCTCTGAATTCCCAACCAGTCACCTTTTCATTTTTGTTTTTTGTTTTTGGCCTAAAATACAAGCACATTTTGAGGCTCTGCTTCTGTCCTATTATGTTGTGAATTCTCTCCATGCAGAGAATTCATTGTATCAGACAGCCAGACCTTTCCTTTCTGACACTTGGGTTAAATTAGGCTAAGTCCTATTTTAGGCATATTTCGGGGACCTCTGGCTTCTTTGCTTTAAAATGTGAATATGAAGCAATGTTTGAAGGATGGTATTTTTTGATATTGAGCTTCCAGTCAGTCTGATTAATGCTGAAGTTTCACCTGTGGCCTTGAAAACTAAATTTTCCTACTGTGTGTAGGGAAGAGTGCCATGTTTTGGGGTTGGCTGTCATTTCAACTTGTACATATGTATGCCACAGTCCTTAGAGCATCAAGGATGGTCTTTTCACTTTGAAGAAAATGCTGTGCCTTTTTCTCCTTATAACATACCCTTGTGGAAGGAAAAATCATAGTGTTTTAGCTGTATCTTTAGGCCTTTGTTAGAGATGGGTCTGGTTTTTTGCTTCAGAGGAAATGAAAACAAAGGTATATAACCTACAAGAGTCTCTTCTGACATTCACTTCCCTTCCAGTTTAGTGACTTGCTTGTTGGTCATCTGCCGTGTACAGGGGCAGGGCACCGTCCCGGACGTGTTCTGTTGTGAGAGCCAGCACTGGGCGGAGGGCTGCAGTGTTCTGCGCTTATCAGGTGTATTTTACACTCAGCCCCTTCTGCCTCTAAGGGGGCCAGATCAAGTCTGTGTGTCATGCTGGTACAACTCAGGTGACGCCACCCTATGCCACTCTTCAGTTATGTGACAATCGAGGTGATTTATCTGATCTCAGAACCACTTGGGAACCGTAGCACTTCTCTTTTGCTCCAGGCGATATGACTGCAAGGTCGACATTGTTGAACCCAACTTATAGCCAACAGTGACTTCAGCTCTTGAGCCCTAAATAGTCCTCCTCTCAGGCTTGCCAGTTTCTCACCAGTGAATCAAAAGGCCGATGATGGCCATGCCACCTGGCCCTGTTGATCGTGCTGCCACACTGCATTTGGCAGTGCGAGGGAAAGACTTTCACATCGGGGAAGGAAGTCCAGCCTTGGTTTTTATCTGCCTCTCTGCCAGGTCCCATTGTGCTCTCCTGATTGGGCTGCTTCCGTAGCTTTCAAGTTGGAAGGGCGTATCCGTGAAATCTTCATGGTGTGGGTTTTCCTTAGGACTGAATAGCCTTGGTGGTTCTTGTACAGCTGAGCTTACTTCATTCAGAGCCCTTGCCTGGGTGAAGGTGGCAGCAACCAAAGAGGGAGGGGCCTTGAAGCCTAAAACATGTCTGCTGGATGCAAGGAAAGCATATGTCATTTTCAAAATAAAAATCTGAAGATGATCATGTGTAGATGAAGAACTGCTTTTCTCTACCTTCTTAATATAAGATATGAAAATTGTCTTTTATGGAAATATTCCTTTTAAAAATCTGTGTGGAAAAGAGAAAATTTATTTTAAGAAATAAAGTGTGTCAGGCTTTCATGATGAGTTCTCAGATAACATCGTCACACTAAGGATAAGAGTTGCAGCTGTTGAGCACGTTGGTGGTCGCCTTGCCACTTTGTTCTGGCTATCAGTTACTGATCTTTAGGAACTGAGGTCACTGTGTCCTACTCTGCACATGCTGTGCTGTGACTGCCTAGCTTTCCTTCCTCTCCTCTGCCCAGGAGCCAGAGGGGTGTGTGCGCGCGTGTGTGTGCGTGTGTGTGTGTGTGTTTGTGTGTTTGTGTGGTCAGCTTCCACATAAACTGTGCCTAAAACAACTTAGCTCAGGTGGCCTCCTTCTGAATTTCCTCTCTGCCCCTACACCTCTGTTCTTAACAGTACTGTACTGAATTTCCTACGCCTTTGTAATTGCTACTGATTATTCAAGTCCCGTGTTATTTACCTCTTCTGTAGTTAAATTCAGTTCACCAGACAGGTTTTGATCAACTACGTGTAAGGCACTATGCTGTACTATCCGAGAACTACAAAGATAAACAAGCTATGGTTTCTTCATTCCAGGAAACTATAATCTAACACAGAAAGGCTTGTACATAAATGTCACAGGGATAATTTGATTCGAAGAAATGAAATCTCACTTGAGCTAATTTAAATACAAGTAGGGACTATTATGAGAAGCTGGTGGTTCTCTTAAAACCCAGGGCAGGACATGGAGGAAGTTTATGAGAACCTCAGAACTAACAAGGCGGCAGAGGAATCAGAGCTTCTCCTCAGCATCTTGACCAGCCCAGCCACGCACACAGCTCTCCTCTCAACTTCCTTCTGGGGTGAGCTGGGTTGTTCTGCCCCCTCTCTGCACAGTAACAACCCCCCCCCCCCAAGTCTAGATCATGTCACAGAATTCTTGGGGTAGGAAATCTTATTGATCTAGTTTAAGACTGGTATTTTCTGGGGTCAGTAGTTTTTTTTTTTTTTTTGGTACCAGATTTCGAACTCAGGACCTTGCACTTGGGAGGCAGGCACCAGAACCACTGAGCTAAATCCCTGGCCCTGGGGTCAGTAGTTTTCACTAGAGGCGGAATCCTGACTTCTATGACCTGCTACCCAATGCATCAGGACCATGGGACTCAACTGTCTGGGAGGAAGCGTGAATAAAACAGATGAATGGAATGTACCACCTAACTGAACTACCACTAATAGTACCAAGCAGAGAATTGTATGATTTTCCATAGGAATAAAGACTCTGGAAGTTTAGAAGAGGTAGGTGACGGGGGAAATCTAGGATCATTTCTGAAGAGCAGAGGTCTCTTTGCCAAAAGATCTCTCCGACTGAGAGTGCAGAGTGGAAGAGTGGACAGGAAGGGCCAGGACTGGTCGACACAGCCACAGGGTACTGCAGGAAGACAGAGGAGGTGGGAGGACTGAAGCAAAAGGCCTGCCGTGGAGGAAACGCGAGTGAAAAGGTTCAAGGAGGCTAAGGTCAGTTCTCTCAGATTTGATAGCCAATTAGAATCTTAGGATCATAGATGACCTTTCAGGCCCCTGACTTGGGTGAGAGGGCAGATGTGGGTGTCAACTTAACTGTGATTTACCAAGAACAGGCTCAGCTCCCCCATGCACTTTACTTCTGCCTTAGTGCTTGCAGATTCCCCAGCTAATGGGTTTGTTCATGGCTCCAGACCTTTGCGCACACATGACACTTCTTTTCCTAGCTGTGGCTTTCTCCTCTCTCCAGTGTTTGCTTGGTGAAATGCTCAACTTTTAAACTCAACTCAGTTGCCCACTCTAGTCTTCCTTGGCTCCCGAGCCTTCCTTGTGGGTGCTCCAGTACCTTCTAATGATACTTTGAATCTAGCTCTGGTGTGTTTGGATTGCATTGCTTACTTAAGTGTTTTACTTGGCAGTGAGCTCCTTCGGGACAAGGATACCCAGTGAACATCTGCTGACTTGTCAGATGAGTAGACGGAAATGAAGTGATGGCCCTGAGGTCCTGAGCCAGGTTGATGAGGAAGATGAACCATAAATCAAGCTAGAAAACTCAGAGGAGTAATTTGGAACAGAAAATGATGAGAACCAAGGTTCTCTGACTTCAAAATCAGCCCTCCATAGCAGCACACAACTAGTATATAAATCAGATGGTGAACACCAGAGAAGAAGGTACATATGTTTAATAAAAAGTTTGACTCGCAGGCACTCATTAATGGAACCTGTGCTGTCTCTAGCTTTGGAGGGGTTTGCAAGGAGTCTGCAAGGCCTCACCTCCTCCTCCTCACTGTAAACCCCGCCCCCGGTGGTGCCTTGGTGACCCAGTGAAGGGGAGCTCATGGTTAGGCACTTGCTTCCCATCTTCCTCTTGGAATTGTCATGAGATCTCACTTGAGCCTTTTTCACTTCTCTGTGTATTGCATCAACCACATTTTCCTGAATTTCATTTTTTTTCATGCTACGAAAACCCCCAAAGTAGTCTGTTCTTAGTGAGCCCTGCCTGGGTTTTAGGGATGCTTCTTGTCATATATCACAACTTATTTAGTGTTTTTAATATTTAGTATTAGACTTTAATCCTAATTAAAAAGCCACATTGGCTTCCTCCCTGGAATGATTTGCAATTATATAATCAGATTTTAAGAGCTTCCCTATCCTCTTAAATCATTTTTTAAAACTCTCATAGTGGCCATTCAAGCCTTTATTTTCTCAGACCTTTGTGAAATCTTCTATCCTAAATCTGAGTCCCAGTCTTCCTTTCTAAGATGTTGTAAGCATGGATATATCATGGTGACTTTCTCCTAGATCTGTCATTGGTTTCTTTTTTCGTACGTAAGGATAAATCTTGAAGAAAATGAAGTTTATAGCAGCTTCTGTGAGAAACATAATAGTGTTTTTTCGGCAATACTAAAGGGAAGACATATGACATGAGCTGACCTAGAGCAAATTGACATCTTGTCATTTTTATTTAGCAGTCTTCAGTGGCATTGAGAGCCAAGGGAGGGGAGAAAATGGACTGGTCAGTGTAAGTATAGCAAGAACAGGAAATTAGGAGTTGAACCTGGGATTGCCTAGGCCTAATGGGAGGCTGTTGAAATGGGGATTAGAGGGTGAGTCACAGTACTGCTGATTTTAATGAAAGTGAAGGACGGCAGGGTCCACTGGAGCCAGTGACTGGGCAAGATGAAAGCGGGGAAGGGAGGTTCTGCTTGCTGGTTTGTGCTGAGAAGGAAGCCCGTGGGTGGGGCCTGCTCTTGTATCTCCTTCATCTCCTGTGTTGGCGCTGTAGGGCTAGTGGTTAGATAATCAACTATGTGTTGACTGATGGGAGCAAATACTTACACTATTCTGTT